ATAAGCCAACTTAATGGTATTGGTCAGCCATCCGGATAAAGAGGGTCTGGAGGTAGCACAACCCCTGTTAGTGCCAGGAAAGGAGACAAAGAGATGATCCGAGGTCCTAAAACCATGAGTTCTCTGAAGGTAGACCTTTAGTGCTCTTCTAACATCAAGGAGATGCCACTTTCTTTCAAGAAGGAGACTGGCAGAATGTAGGTAGAATAATAGGTTGGTTCATAGAAGTACTTGAAATAACCTTGGCCAAAAATGAAGGCCTGGGGTGCAGGATAACTTTATCTTGATGAAAAACGGTGAACTCAGGAGAGGAAGATAGAGCCTGAATTTCACCTATCCTCCTACCTGAGGTGATAGCCACTAGGAACGCAGTCTTGAAGGTAAGCAGGTTAATGGGAACCTCTAGTAATGGTTCAAATGGTGGTTCACAAAGGGCTTGAAGAACCAAGGACAAATCCCAGGTAGGGAAAGGGAATATCTTGGGAGTCCGCTTCAGCCTTATGGATTTAAAAAACATGTGGTTAAGCAAGTCCGAGGCAATGTCACGAACCAGGAAGTGACTTAGAGCTGAAATCTGGCCCTTGAGCGTAGAGACCCCAAGGCCGGCTTCAAACCCATCCTGCAAAAAGGAGAGAATATCCAGGACTGATGCTCTGGCAGGATCCGAACCCCGAATGGAACACCAGGACCTGAACTTCATCCAAACCCTGAAATAAATTCTTGCCGTGGACAAGCGGACTGAAGACAGAAGAACGTCACACAAACGGTCTGAAATACCATGTCCTTGGAGGATCAACCCTGCAGCAGCCATGCCATCAGGTGAAACATTTCCAGACTTTCTATGGGAAGAGTCACACATTCTATTATGTTGGTAGAGATTGGGAGAGACCAACGTGAGATGGTCAAGTTTTCCCACTTCTGAAAACCGACTCCTGTTCGGCCAGAAGGGCAGGATGGCTAGAATTCTTGCCTTCCTCCATCTTATCTTCTGAACAATTCTTGGAATAAGAGCTATTGGAGGGAAAACATAAGCCATGTTGAAGTTCCAAATGATTGATAGACTGTTTAAAAATTGTCTGGGCAATCTCGTGCTTGGAGAGAAGCAAAAGTCTGAACTTTTCTGTTTCTCCTCGTGGCCATCAGGTCTATATCCTGCAGGCCCAAGCGGGTAACCAACTCAAAGAAAGCCTGGTTTGATAGCGACCAGTCTGCCTGAGACCAATGACTCCTGCTTAGGTTGTCTGAGATTATGTTTAGAGACCCTCTGATATGGGTAGCCGAGATCACGAGAAGTCTTGATTGGGCCCAAGACATGATGCGGTAGCAGAGGTCTTGTAGAGCTTTCACCCTTGTGCCTCCTTGGCGATTTAAATAAGCCACTGTAGTGGCGTTGTCCGACTGAATCCTTACTGCCTGACTGGTGATCACTGAACTGAAAGACTTTAGTGCCTTCCATACAGTTTTCAACTCTCTGAAGTTTGAGGAAGCGTTTGCCTCTTCCCTGTTCCAAATACCTTGATAGAACTGAGAACCTAGTCTGGGAAGCATCTGTGGTTATCGTAATCCACTTTTTTGTGCAAACGAGAGGCCTTTTGAAATGTTTCTTTCTTTCCACCAGTTCAGTTGTTTCTTCACCACTTCAGATAGGTGAAAGACAGAGTCTAGATCCTCCTGTCATCTGGACCATTGAGAAAGAATGTCCCATTGCAATGGTTTTAATTCCGCCTTTGCCCAAGCCATTGCTGGGATTGCAGAAGTGAGGACGCCCAGTAAACTCATTGCACCCCGGATAGAGCTTGAGTTTTTCTGCAGTCTTGGTACGGTTTTGAAAATCCTTCTTTGTTTCTCTATTGGAAGGAAAAGAGACATGGACTTTGATTCCACCCGAAGACCCAGGAATTCCAGACTCAATGAAGGAATCAACTTGGATTTTTTCAGGTTTAGGAGCCAACCGTGTTCTTTCAAAACCTTTATAGCGATCTCAAGATGAGATCTTAGAAGTTGTTCTGATTGGGCTTTCAAGAACCAATCATCCAGGTACGGAAATATAGAGATACCTTTCAGACGCAAAGCTGCTGCTGTGGGTGCAAGGATTTTCGTAAATATATGAGGAGCCGATGACAGGCCAAAGGGTAGAGCCTTGAACTGAAAATGGAGAATTCTTCACCATCCTGTTAAGACTGCAAATCTGAGGAATTTTCGGGAAGACTCTGATACCGGAACATGGAGGTAGGCATCTTTTAGGTCTAGCTTTGCTATGAATTACCCTTTTTGCAAGCTGTGTGTGACAGACAGAATATTCTCCATATGAAACCTTTGATACGGTATGCAGCTGTTGACCTTTTTTAGGTCTAGAATAGGCCGAAAGGATCCGTCTGGTTTTTGTACCAAGAACAGGATAGAGTACACTCCCTGAAATTCCCATTGTTTGGGTACCTTTTCTACTACATTTTTTCTTAAAAGGATAAGAGCTTCTGCTAGGAGTGCCTCCGATTTCTTTCTTGATGGATAGCTTGACAGTAGGAAGGATGGTTGTGGTATTGCAGAAAACTTGATTCTGTAACCTTCTGAAATTGTTAGAATCCACCCATTTGATGTTATCTTTTCCCATTCGTGGGCGAAGAACCAAAGGCGTCCTCCTACTCTCTTGGTGTCAACATTTTCTCTTCTTGTCTTGCCTGTTGAGATCCTGTCTAGACCACTGACTGCTGGTTCCACCCTGTTTTCGAAATCTATGAAGACGCCCTTGGTAACGAAAGGAACCCTTGAACTGATATATTTTATATTTTTGGGGTCTTGATTCCAGAGGTAGAGCCTTCTTTGTTTTCGACATTTGTCTAATAATGTCTTCCAAAGGAGTGCCAAAAAGCTTGTTCCTCTCAAAGGGTAGTTCACACAAGGCTGCCTTAGAAGCTCAATCAGCTGTCCATTGTTCGTAGCCACAGTGCTCTTCTGGCCACTGATGGCAAACCCATGATTCTGGCGGATAAACGAAGAATTTCATCAGAGGCATCCGAGAGAAATTAGTTAGATAATTTCAGGAGGAACATAAGCTGGGCAGGGTCGTTATCAGACTTTTCCATAAGAGACTCTTCAAGGGCTTGGAGCCAGAAGCTCTGTGCCCTGAGAACTGCTGAACCTGCTATTTCGGCTCTGCATTGGTAGCTTGCGGCCTGGAAGATTCTTCTACAAAGTTTCAGCTCGCTTGTCCATTGGGTCTTTCAGTCCCGAGACTTTGCCAATGGGTATAGTGGTCTTCTTTGACAGCTGGGCTATCTGAATGTCCACCTTGGGAAGATCCTCCAATTTCTCTTCAGACTGTAGTTTGAAAATAAGTTTCAAATGCTTTGAAATAAACGCCCGTCCTTCTCTTTGAAGGAGATTCATTAGTTTAGGAAGCATAGGGAAACCTTTAACCTTACCCTTGGTAGGATCTGGTTCCCGTACAGCTGTCGCCATTTCTTTTATACATTTTTTAAGCTCCTCTGGTGGAAAACCCTCTTCCACACTTGAAGCTAGGCTGGAAATATCAGAAGGCGAGGAGGAAGAGCATTCTCCTGATTGAGATATCAGACAGAGAGGGAGACCTTTCTCTCCTATGTTTCTTAGTCTGCTCCTGAATAGCCGGTTCTTTCTTTACAGCATCTTTAAAAGATTTAAATGTCTGGGACAAATTTTCCTGGAACCAGCACACGAAGGATTTTTAGGAACATACGCTGACATCTTGCCTTTATCTGCCTTATCCGGAGAAATAGGACTGGACATATCTGGGAAGAAGGAAAAAACAACAGTCATTGATATAGGAGCATGCAATAGTGATAGGTGACAAAAGGAGAGTTTAACGAGTTAAACCTCACCTCTAACCACCTCACAACCGTGTAGGAGTGCTGGTGACATGGAGAACCAGGACTGTACACCCACCCTTGGGGTCAGACAGGCTCTGCACAGCTTTTATGAAAAACATTAATTTGAATTTGGCGCCAAAATAGCGAACACAGTTTTGCGCATGCGCAGTAGCACGATTCAGTGTTTGGTGAAACGCAAAACTTCCCAGGTGTGTTCTCCACCGCTGTGCGCATAGCTCCTTGATGGGAGGTCCGCCCGGGAACTCCCAGAGATGCCATGTTGTGCCTAATTATTAAATTCATGAAGTACCAATATCCAAAAAGTAATAATCAATACCTAAGGTTTATTGCGATATTGGTGGGCACACAACCCAGTTCGGATAGAGTACATTGAGTTATAGGAAAGAGAAATCACACAGAGACCAAGTTGAATATAAGAATTCACACTACACTTTATTATCCAAAAAGGGATCTAAGCAAAATAAGTTTTACTCTCATTTAAGTAGTTTCATGCATTTACTTCAAACAGCTTAGTATCTAGATATATCAGCTTAAGTATACATAACCATTAGAGGGGCTTGGTTGTCTCCTCAGTGCACACGACTGGGGGAACTCAAGCAGTCAGGCTCGGAGAGACCGTCTCTTCTGGGAACAGCAGAAGCCAGTAACACGCGTCCGCTTTACAGGTGGGTAGTTCTCCAAATGAGCGCAAGATTCCCTTAGTCTTATATACCGGTCTTCAAGGACAGTCAGTAGTTCCTTACCAGTGTGGCCCAGCAAAAGACCTTGATACAAGCAGCTGGATGGACCTGGCAGTTGGCCAGACTATTCAGGACCACCAGAACTTACACCAAGATTTGTGCGGTTAATTATCTCTTATCTACAAGCTTTCTTTGTACTGTTCTAGAGATGGCAACATACGTTTCTCAAACTGCTGTAGTGCTGTGTCCGCTTGTATTGCTGTGTCAGCTTAGTAAACAGCTGTAGTGCTGTGTCAGCTCTTAATAGCTATGGCATAAAGCCTTCAAGCCTGCATCTAATAATTGTGGCCTTCAAGCCTGCATCTAGTAATATGTGCTATGTGTGCTTATATGCTTACCGGTGCCATCTTAACTATTTATAAATGTTTGATTTGCTCAATAGTGATCAATCATTCTTAGTTAATATGGAATATTATTATCACGTGCCACAAGTAGAATGATATCCGGTCGTGTTCTGTAACACGAAACCCGGAAGTACTATTGCCCTTCAGCTCCCGCCCGGGGAGCTATCGGGCACTCACCTGCCCGGTCAGCAGCCTGTGCTGACCACACCATTCTCCACCTAGACCCAAGGGGAACTTGTCCATCCCATTGCTGGGACAAGAAGAACTCAAGTTCTCCTCTGAGTTGCAGATTATATAGAGGCAGCAGGCGGAGCACAACAATTATCATTAAAGAAGGGGGAGCTTCTTGTCCAAACTAGAAGGAACATTCCACTTGTAAGTACTGCCACTATACAAGAGGAAAATTTGGGTTGATGACCTCTCTGGAAATGGGTTTGCTGATAGAAAGCAATTGTGGTTTTCATTTTCTTAGCTTCAGCCAGGGCTAGCCTTCGTTTGTGCAGGGTATTTAAACATTTGACGTTAAGGGAAACAAATTGTAATAGCCATGGTTGTACAGTAATTGGGTCGCCATTGTGACATCCGGAATATAACTCAGTAACAGGTCTAGGTGGAATGTAGACTGACTGATCAGCCAAGGGCACAACTTCTCTCCCGTATGCGTCTCCAATAGCAAGATTTACCACATTAATATTGCTAGTTTGCATTTTTTCTACAGGGCGCATGGGATTGGCATTGCCGACCCTCAGCAAAGCAAAAACAAGTAGGAGTATTCCTAGAGAAAGGTCATGCAAGGGAGGGGTTAAGCCCATTAACAACCTTAAGACAGGACCACATCTTTTTAGGTCAAGTCGGGAGACTAAATTACCATCCTGCATCCACACAGGCCAACATCCTCAAAAGTAGCGTGCATCAAAAACATAAAAAAGGATACCGAACAAAAATTAGAAAACTGTACATCAAGGTACTTAGGTGTGTAATACTAAGATTAGTGTTCAGTAAAGTCTCCAGGTTTTATAGTGTTTTAGAAAGTTATAGAGTCAAATATAAGGCTTGCATTTGAGTTTGTTCACATTGACATTTTTAAGATTGTTTATGTTGCCTTATAGACCGTATGGTAGCCAAGGAATGAGAATTACCCCCATGATGGCATACTATTTGCAAAAGCAGACAACCTAAGGTATTACATATGGGAAATGCCCAGGTTTTTTAGTAGCTGTGTTTGCCACGAGTTCCTGGAGGAGTGTGGAAGCTGGCCTCCTACCCATCAACTATGGGCCAGTTCAGCAACTGTAAAGAAACTTTATATTTTATTCCCTCTATTCACAGAACTTTTAAACTTTCCCCAATTCTGTACTTTACAAACTACCAAACAGAGAACACTCCTGGCTTGTTCCCTTAAAAAAAAAAAAAAAAAACACACCTTTGGTCTAAACGTTCGAATGAGGAGAGCATTTATAGCCTATGAGACAGGGGGTGCGTTCGGTAGTTGCGAACAGGAACTACTGAAAGATGGCAGGCTGTTGAAGCTATTTTCATGGAACGGATTTGGGCTTATGCCTTGTGGCCAGCCGGTCAGATCTTTAACATGATGGCATTCACATTTTACCAAACGCATTTGAGTGATATTTGGTGAACTTGGAAACTCGGATCAGGGGTGTTTGGGCATGCCTGTTTGTATCTGAGAGATACTTGATTTAGTGTCCTTTAGACTCAATTATTTCCCAGATCCAGGAACCATGAGGGAGGAGTTTTTGGTGGAGAATCATGTAAGGAGGGTGAGGGGGGATGAATAACATAGACCCCTTGCTGGGGGGGGAGGGGCGTATATAAGCAGGCCATAATAAAAATTCAAACAAAAATTAGTGACCTGTCACTAACACCCCCCCTCTAAGAAAGAAAAGGCGATAGGTACAAGGCAGTGTGGTCAGATGGTGGTGCAAGCTCCATCAATAGGGCTTGGACCCAAATTGTAAGTAAACTGAGAAAGAGAAGATGAATCTCCAACTAGGGTAATCTAAGGTGCCAGTAGTTTAATGAATGAACAACATAATTGGAATAATAAACAAATATCTCTAAATTGGTTATGGTAGGTATTTGAACAAGGGGAAAATGGTACCAATTGTTCTAATTATGTTTGCATGTACCCTTTAACAAAAAATATTTACATATATAACTTTATTGATCCTCTATGAAAAGTAAAAAAAATTAAAGGAACACAGAAAGAACCCCCCCTAGGATAGCTTATAATAAATTGGCAGTGTAATGTCTGCCTTAAATAATATTGCATAGGTCTAATTATAGCGAAATGTTCTATTAGGTTATAGATTTAGCTGTCGCTTTAAGAACCAGATGCAACAAAGTAGTAGACTCCTCAGAGCGGATAGCTATTGCAAGGGTTAAAGTAACAATTTCCCTCAAACCTATGGGGATTTATAGAGGAAGGGAACCAAAAGTTGATATAAGGATTGGCTGTGCTGAAGTAGTACTGGTGTAAATTCTAATCCTACCAAAGTTAATAAACTGTGAAGTAGCCTTAAATTTCTGTGCAATACAAAGAATTGTCCATAGTATGGTGTAAGCATATGAAATAGTTAACTTTTCTTGTTCATATGTATTTTATGCTTAGATAAGGTATATAATCATTAGTGCTGAGTGTAAGGATATGAAATGGTTAACTTTATATGCTTTAAAATAATGTTTGAAATAATTATGCTGACTTTGGCAGATGTATTTTGTACCAAGGTCTTTCGTCTACAGGATGTATGACCTTGCTCGACCTCAGGATGTTACTGTGCCATCTTTATTCAAATGCTTATCTTTTTAATGTCAGACAAGTATGTACTACTAACTTTTACCCCTTAAGGACCAAACTTCTGGAATAAAAGGGAATCATGACATGTCACACATGTCATGTGTCCTTAAGGGGTTAAGGAAGTGATAAATCTCGCTGCTTGCGTGACAAACTGTGTATAAATGTTAGCCCTGAAAATATACTCATTGAGAACTTGTTAAGTACTCTTTCATGTCTGTGTCTTAATTTGCTAACAAGAACTCCCATCAATTGATGTGGTGACCGGAGGATCGAGAATCGAGGGGAGTTGAGTCCAGAACAGCATTAACCCTTTCAGCTTGGTGTTAGAAGTGGGATACAGCAGGACCATTGGGTGAGTAGCCTTTTTGTGTCTTATTGAGGCTAATTGTCTATGACCCCCTTTGGTTCAGTAAGTCTGTAACCAGTAGAAAGGAAAGGTGTAAGGACTTTAGTTATATTGAGACTGTAAATAGGTCTCCGGTTTATTATAGAGTTTCGGTAACCCAGGTTAGTATCTAAGATAGATACAGGGTATCTCAGGTAGATACAGGTTTTGAGACCATAAGAGGTCTCTGGTTTATTAAGACTATAGGTGTTCTGAGGAGCACGGTTTATAGATCTATAAGTATACCCCAAACTTCTCTTTCTCCTGGTCACCTTTGTTTGTCTTAAGTGTTCTTTGTGGGTGATTGTCTATATTGGGGACACACTTTGGTAAGTTAGTAGTGTGTCCACCCTGAGTCAGCAGTATGGGAAATGTAAGTTCAGGTCCCGAGTGACCAATATATATACATATATATATATATATAAGATACCAGTACTGTATATTAGAAAAGAACTCACTCGCAGGTTGTACCTGATAGACCTACTTAAATCTTTTGCTTTATTCTTTATGTCGCATAGAAGTATAAGTTTATTACTCTATTTTATTGCAAGTTATTTCACATGGGATCTCACATTCTCACATTATATGTGTTCTTTTAAATTGTGGTATTTAGCCTGGATCAGAGATCATGGACAAAGGTTTTCTACCTGTGTTACCTGTGTTACTCTTGGAGACTGACCGGTCTAAAGGTTTGCCATGCCTTACAACATGGTATAGTATAAATTTTTTAAGTCTCTGAGAGTTCTGAAAGATTCGGGTGAAACCATGTCTGTGTAATTTGGTCCAGATGTTTGCAAAATTTCTGTAAGATTTAAAATTGATGCAGCATCATCTCAGATTAGTTAATGGACGTTTCAGACAAATATTTTAGTTATGAGCGCGCTATATAAATGGATCCTTTCTTTATATACAATATTGTAGTAGATTAAAGTAATGACATTAATTAGAAAAAAACATGTAAGCATAAGAATTCCTAAAATAAATCTAATACAAACTAAAATTGTTATACCTTACAATAATATGTTCTGAGTACAGCTGTTAACTGTTTATTCTGTGTAAATGGTGATTGTGATAATATGTGAAGTGTGCAGCTTAACTGTAAAGTGGTTTAATTTATATGTTGCTGTGTTGTTTTAAATTATATTTGAATCAGTTTGTCTTAGTCTAGTGATACTGATACAAATGCCAGTCAAAAAACCTATCAAATAACTGTTTTATTAGCTGTTGAATACTAGCGTTTTGGCCAAGAGTAGTTGGAGTTGAGTAGTTTTATCAGCTCAGAGAGGCTCTGTGTTGTGGTTTGATATAGCTATATGGGAATGGAGATTTGGAGGTGTTAGTTTAAGACTGCTTTCATATTGTGTCTACTCGTGTTTCCTAGGAGGGACATATAGTGTGTAGTTGTAGGCTCATGAATGTGTTTTCTGTATTGGCATATCTGCTGGGTACCCGATATGTGTATCTACTACGTCTGTTTTGTGAGATGTCTGTTTTGTGATAAGACGTGTAATATTACATTGGATGCTGAGTATAAGTTATATGGTTTGAAATGAATTGGTGTGTTATGTGTTTCATGTATTTTATTGTCCATTGTGTAGGAGTTTAACTAGCAGAGTGATTTGCATATCATTAACCCCTTAAGGACACATGACGGAAATATTCCGTCATGATTCCATTTTATTCCAGAAGTTGTGTCCTTAAGGGGTTAAGTGTTTTTACAAAAGGTGAAATGCTGTCCAGCCGGCTAGAATGAAACAATTGTATGCTATCGCTCCTGGAGCAAGAAAAGCGCTTGTTACATCCCACGTGAAAGGGGCCCCGCAAACTTCTGCTGTTCAAATCGTGGATCCACGTTTCCATTTGCAAACTGATTAATCCTGAAAGTCATTCTTTTACTGATAAAAAGGATTGAATGGACAAGATGTCTCTCCCTCATAAAGGAGTTCTAATAGGGGAGTATTGTTCAGCTCAGAGTTAACTCTACTTTGAAAGTATATTGCATTGTTTGTGTCAAAGTAAGATTCATCTAGTATGCCTCATTGATTATGGGGTAATAATAACATGGAATTTTTATTAGAGATTAGACAATTTCTGAAATTTATAAGTGAGGTAATTTTAATCTCCTAAACTACTGTATTATATTTGTATGGGTAAATCGAAAGCATTTTGCAGATCCAGAAGAGGATAAATAAATAATATAATAATCTCACTAGGAGCCAAATTATGCAAAGAGGCTATCCAAAGTATGCACTAACGGGTTAAACTTGTTTTCTTGATAAGCGTATAACATTTAGTTTTGTGGTTAGACTTTTGATACTCAATTAGAAATATGTCCCAATTACATCCTTGCACGGCACCAGGTACAGGAAGCAATATGCGTTTAAAAATTTTGCAAGGTCTTAATGTTTTCAATATATTATAATAATGGAAAAGTACCTAACCGCATGTCTGCATTATGCTCATGACACAGACTGTCAGTATTGCAAGCCCTATATGAAGGCTATGCTTTCATTGTCGATGTATATACCCCTAGACAACCTTGCTTTATATACACAGTTTAACAATCCATTAAACCTTTAAAAGCTTATTAATATTGTATCTGTGTGGTACACAAAGAGGGGTGCACAAAGAGGGGGTGTGAGTTAGGTAAACCCGACCTGCATATGGAATATGCTTCCTCCTTGTTCACTTTTGTTCCTTGTTGGTCTGTGACTGGCCCTTTTTGACCCCAAATGAATTTCTTGGGAAGATTCATGAGAAAGATACAGCAAGTTGTTTTGATAGAAAGAAAGAAGGAAAAGGTATGTTGTATCAGTCACAAGGATTGTGATCCTAAGCAGGCGAGACAAAGAAATTTGGGAGGTGATAGGAGATTGAATCAGAAAAGTTTTAAAGGCAGAGGTAGAGGATTTGGTCAAAGGGTCTAACTTTTGTATAAGTAGCAACTTCAGCATTGGTGGAACACACTGTTCTAATTGTGGATAGCAGGGTCACTGGAAAAATGAGTGCCCAAACCCACCCCAACAGATTCCTTTAATACCAACCACAGCTTCCAACCTATACCCACACCCAACAACCCCAGCCTAATACACAGATGGTTCATGTTTTTAATATTTTATATAGTTTTAGGTGTTAATCCAAGAGTATTGAATTATTCAGGATTATTAAAGTAAATTAATTTTGAGTATCAAATCAAGGTTCAAGTTTAGGAACAGAGTTTTATTGGGAATTATCTCCATATGTATATGTTAGTGTTTTAATATTCATCCTAACAAGCATTTCTATAGAGTGAGTGCTTCTCTCATTCGTACAAAGGCATTCCAAAGGGGTATTATGTAAAACTTCATAGAAGACAGATTTCATAAAATATAAGCAAATATAAAAGAAGTACATGTTACAAAAATTAAGGGTTTAACCTTATTCTCTAATTTAAGTTTTAGCCTAGGTAATTAATTAATTAATGTTGTATTAATCCTTGTGTTTGTATGATTGTAGAGACTGTCCTGGAGTGTTTGTGCCGCCTGCTTTTCTGGGACTACACACCAATCTCTCTGGCTGACCATGCAATAAGTATTTTGCAATTACATCTGTTTGGTCATTATCTATGCAGGCCAAAGAAACTGAGATACTTATTTATGAGTTCATAAACTTTGCACGCAAGAACCTGGAAAGTCCTGAAGGTGCAGTGCTGTCTAATACCGCTGGTTCTGTAATAACCCTTTCAACCATTGGGGTGTTGCACAGAGCATTGTGGTGAAAATCCAGCAAACAAAAGAAGAACTATGTGGAAGCTGACATTGTCTTGTTGTCAGCCATATTGCTACCCTTAGCCATTTTATGGAACAAAATGTCTGGTGTCTAGATTGATTTCTTTATACTCTGTGAAAGACTTATTCTATTTTTCTGAACTATTTTTATTTAGTTAGCCAGAGAGAGGAAGTGTTAGCTGACCCAGGGATGGATGTACTATGTGTGTTTTTGATATATGTTGAGTGTGCCAAGGATAGATTCCCATGTTTTGAGGAACTGCGTGAGGATATGACTGGTTTTGACTGGACCTTTGGAATAGGAAAATGGTTAAAAGGTATAGGACACAAGGTCCTGGTTGTGATTATTGTCAGAATTTTAAGCTAGACTATAATTTATCTCATTAATTAATATGTAAGAAGTGTTTCCCAATTCCTCCCGATACCCAAGCTATGTACTCACAGGTGCGGGTATTATAAGTCATAAGTGGTGTCAACCTTGAGGGGATGACATGTCTAACACGATCGCGGCCCCCACTCAGGTTTTCCCCAGATGTGCTTTTTCCTCAAATATGAGTTTTTGCCTCTGGGTTTTTTGCCTGGCCCAGATCATCAGGTGGACTGGTAATCCTAGACCCCGGTCCTTGGACGGGGGATAGGTATTATTCCCACTTTGACTATATGCACCCACTTCCGTTGACGAAGGAGGAAAACAACTGTTGGGAATAATATACTTTGCCCATATTTACCTAGGGCTTATGATACAGATGACCGGCTGGTTAGTCTGTTTAAAATTGGTTAACATGTCAGCTATTTGCAATAATATATTTGCTATAAACCCAAGTTTAGATTAAATGATGCTGTCTCAGTATACCCTGGTAATTATACTTGTTTTCAGGGAAATAATTCTGGTAAGTGGGGTAAGCAATTTGATAACTTCTCTTCAGGATTCTGCTCCGCCTACAGTAATATTACCTTAGTGAATCAAACACAATCTGTTGGAGATGTTTATTGGATATGTGGAGATATGAAAATATGTTCTAGACTCCCCACCCCCTGGAGAGGAGAATGTGACCCAGCCAAAATAATCATGCCCCTCCATATATTTGGTGACTCTCTCCCTGAAATTAAGGTTGTAACTAATTCCACAAGAAGGAAAAGGGAAACCCCACAAGGTAGTTTGGACCCACATATATATCTAGATGCCATTGGTATTCCAAGAGGGGTCCCTAATGAATTTAAATAGTTAAATAATAGAGATGAGGTGGCAGCAGGATTTGAATCAATTTTTCCCATTATAACAGCTAACAAGAATGTTAACTGGATTAATTATATATATTATAATCAGCAAAGATTTGTAAATTACACACAAGATGCATTACAAGGTCTTTCTGAACAATTACAGACTACCTCACAAATGACTTTCCAGAATAGAATGGCCCTTGATATGATTTTAGCAGAAAAGGGAGGAGTCTGTAAATTACTTGACTCCGGTGTTTGTTGTACCTATATTCCAGAGAACACTGGCCCAAATTTTAAAGTAACCCTAGCTATAAAGAAATTGGAAGACCTGTCCATAGAAATGAAGAGGAATTCAGGTATTGATCACCCATGGGCAGATTGGTTTAAGTTTGACAGTATCCTAGACTGGCTAAAGAATATTGGAATAATTATTGTTATGGATCTGGTCCTTGCTCTACTTGTCTATGCTATTTTTAAGATTATTGTATTCTGTATTTACAAACATACACACAACACTATTCCTGCAAAATCCCCAGCTTGCTATGATGAATATCTCCAAATGTATACACATATAACTGCAATGGTAAACATGCTGATACATATCTATAAGTATATGGTACTGGTCGAATGCCTAGTCCTTTGCTATGGGAATAATGGCCAAAGACATAATGAAAGACCTGCAGGATTGGCTAGCAATCCTGAATATACCATGGCAGATGGCTAGTTGTCTGACCAGGACTCCTTAATAGGGTATGAGCAAAATATTGCTCAAAGAGGTGGAATGAAAGAAATTGAAACAGTTAATCGGTTAGTATTCTATTAGTTGAATTATTTTGCAAATATAGTAGCAAGCTCTTTTGCAGAACCACTTACAAAACATAACTGAAAGGAAGTCACAAGCTATAACAGTTTCTATGTAACAGGATGCGCTTAGCCACTATGTATATGTGATATTTTGTAAGAATAGATTATTGCACGTAACAGCAGTAACTATTTCCTTGGTATGCATTTTTTGTAACCAATGTTCGTGACAAACACTGTATAAATACAAAGCATTTGAATACATTGTCAGAAGACTTTTGGAAAGCAACTTGTGTGTGTCTCGTTATTACGCTTCCATAATTCTTCCCTGAATATTCAGTAGACAATCGAGGGTTGGAGAACAGTGAGGGATCGAGTCACCAGAGTAGCAGATTTATCTTTCAGTTAGCAGAAACGAGGGGTTCCAAGTCATTTCCAAGTAGTACATCTGCTGGTAAATCCTTCATTAGTCCTACGTTCACATGTCCCGAACCAACCCCCCAATCCAGGTGAACACGGGCAACGGGTAGCCGAAAAACGGTGCCTCCAGCCACCCTTACGGCTACAGTGTCTCCAGTGTGTTGATTCTCAGAGACTAGGTTTTTCTGTAGCAGGGTCATGGTGGCGTCAGTATCCCTTAAACCAGTTGCTGCCTTCTCATTAACCCGGACGGCCTGTTGGTGCTGCTGTCTGTTGTCCCGGTTAGCAGCTTGCACTGGGTCAGCCTTGTGCAGGATAGCCCAACACTCCTCTTCTTCAATGCAGTTGGCAGTTGGTACTGCTGGGCAGGGGTTCCCCCCGGCTGGTTTCCTCCAGGATTGAGACTGCCTGGCTGGGTTCAACGGGCAGTCCTCCTTTCGGTGCCCAATCTGGTCACAACCGAAACACCTCACGGGCTGGGAATAATTGCGGGCATTAAATTTCGGTGGCTGGGAATAATTGGAAGCCGGGGCGGGTGCTGTGTGCCGGTAGGACTGTGGTGGTGGTGGAGGAGCCGCTGTGGTAGATGCCACTGGTCGGTAGTCCATACAAGCTGCTGTTTTGGCCACCTGGTTGTCTAGCTTGTGGCCATCAGTATACTCATCCGCCAAGCGAGCTGCTTTGGGTAGGGTGAGGGGTTTCCTGTCACGGACACACTTTCTGACCCCTGTGGTCAGCCTCTTGTAGAAGTGTTCCAGCAGGAACAATTGTAGTTCTTCTTCCCCGGATACCGCCTGGCATCCAGCGACCCAGTGGGCTGCCGTGTATACGGCATGCCCACTTGGTGTATGAATCTCCGCTTTGTTTGTTAGTGTCCTGAAACCTCCTCCGGTATGCTTCTGGGGTAAGAACATACCTCGCCAAGAGGGCTCTTTCACTAAGCCATAATCTGTATCTTCCTCGCCTGGGATGGCTTGGAAGGCTTCGCTTGCACAGTCTGATAACTTTCCAGATAAGATGGTAACCCATTCATCTGCGGGTTCCTGGTGTAGGGCACATTGCCTTTCGAAATCAACCAGGTATCCATCAATCTCCCCATCAGCTTCCACAAAGATTTAAACGCAGCGAAATGTACCTTTTTCTTTCCATGTGTAGCTGGTATTTCTGCTACTGCAGCACCTCTTTGTTGCAGGAGCAGTCGGTTCGCTTCCACAGCTGTTATGACACGCTCAATGATGTCTGGTGTAGGGTTGGGGCCAAAATGCGCCAGCCTTATGTTGACCGCCCAGTCAAAGCTCGCCTCGTCGGTTGTTCAGTCAGTAATTCGGCTCTATCCATATCCAGCAGCTCTGTAATGATGTCCCTTTTCTTTTGGTTACTAGCTGGTCGACCTCTAGGGTAGAGCGTTTTAATTGCTCGTAATACGTTTTCATCGGCTTGTGTCTTTGTAGCTGTCCTTCTGGGCTGTAGGAACCATTCCGTCACTTGCTACCAGTTGTTACGGCACCCCAGGTATAGAAGGGATTAAAACCGTTTAATAAGCTTCTTTTCTGTATACCCTGACAGCTACCAATCACTCCAACCAGCCGAACAGGAATCATATGAACATCCACACCTTAAACAGCCGAACGAGAATAACCATACGAATAATCCCCCCAAGTACAAGACCAAGCTCAGTATTGAGGGTCAGCAGGAATCTGGTTTAATGGGGCTACCTGCCCGGTATTTATGCGGGTCTTCCACTAGGTGGACACTCCCCTGGTGGAAAACTGGTACAGAACATTACAGTAACCAATCAGAGCATTGCAGAGATAAACACAGGCATATTGTAAACCCTCCCCTCTATCCCGGAGATAATTGGGAAGTAACTCAATTATCTCCCAGGATAGAGGCTAAGACTCCATTTTACACGTGGTACTGAAAACACGCAAAAATATATAATATACAAAAACTACCGACCAGAATATGAGCATTCAACACTTCCCCAGATAGCTGAGATCTGAGCGCACATTATTACCGAATAGGGCTCAGATCCCATACACACAGTTCAATCGCCATGGAGCCAAAGTCTTTCACATAGTCTTTTGTTATACGAATGGGCTCCATGGCATGGCTATCTGGGGTAAGTCCATTTGTGCAGAAAAGTACCGAACAGGCCGCGTTCATATGCTGGATGAACAGAAGAAGGGAGGTCGGCAGCTGCAGCGGTGTTCGTGAGAAGGAGTGTCCATTTTTAGTTGCATGAAATTGTCGACGAACACCGCTGGGCATTCGTACGTCCAAGATGGCCGCTGCCTTGTGGTCAGCATACGAATGACGACCACCCAGTCAGCATTCGACAATTAGGAAGTGTCTGCGGTTAACCCCAATGTTCTGATGAGGCCAAGAGGTTAACAAGCAGCACACTTCCATGCTGGGTAGCCGGCTGTTTGGCAGTTGTTCGGTAAAATGAAGAAATAAACATGGGGGCTGTACGGGCAGGAAACAGCCGAACAAACAGACAAATTAGGGAAATATAAAAGTAATTCGCATAAAGAGGGTTCTGTCACAGACTCCTTGATGTCTTCCAGGATATTGCCTGTGTATACCTGGATGACATAGCGATCCACATTGAGTCCTGGGAGGAACACTTAGCTCATGTAGGAATGGTCCTGGATCAAAATCGGGCTGGCCTGACCCTGAAGCCAGAGAAATGCCATTTTGGAATGGCTGAGGTTCAGTACCTGGGTCACCGGGTGGGGTGTGGAAAGCAGAGGCCAGAACCAGCCGAGATAGAGGTGGTTGCAAATTGGCCAACACCTCACACCAAGACCGAGGTCCTAGCCTTCCTCAGCACTGCTGGGAACTACAGGTGATTTATACCAGACTACAATAGTATTGCCAAACCCAAGACAGACCTGAGAAAGAAAAATCTTCCCCGACAGGTCCTGTGGTCTCCCCACTGTGAGGCAGACTTTCAGGCTCTCAAAAATGCACTGGTTAATGCTCCTGTCTTGGCTGCCCCAGCCTCTAACAAACGCTTTCTCGTCCACACAGACACTTCCATGTTCGGGCTGCGGGCAGTCCTCAGCCAAATAGGAGAAGACAGAGGGGAGCATCCTGTTGCCTACATCAGCCGAAATCTCCTGCAACGAGAGGTCGGCTATGCTGCAGTAGAAAAGGAAACTTTGGCCCTGGTGTGGGCGTTAAAAGAAACTGACTCCCTACCTGCATGGACAAGAGTTCACTCTGGTTACAGACCATAACCCGTTGGTGTAGCTAAACTGGGTCTCAGTAGATAATGGCAGACTGTTACGATGGAGCCTATCCCTACAGCAATTCAATTTCACCATCGCTTACAGACCCGGGATACAGAATGGCAATTCTGACGGGTAATCAAGACAGACAGACCTCAGTCCAGAATAGCCCAGTTCTGGACAGCCTTAGTCTGCCCAGAAAAGGGGTCAGACCGTGTCTGCCAGAGTGTTCCACAAGGAGGGAGCCATGTTACAGAGATCCCCTCTGTCTACTACAACACAGATACTTGTGTTGCTACCTGGATACTTTTACAATACCGCCACTTTTGTTGCTACCTAGATACTTTTCTGACACTGTTTATACGAACGTGCCTTGTCATCACTGTTCATATACAAATGGTCGAAAGGGGAGCCGACCAAACTGACGAAAGAACTACCGAATGGCGACCACCTATACTCTGACGTGTGTCTCTAATTAAACTGCGGTTTCTGTGGTTAACCGCAAGATAATCACTTATCCCAAGGTAGTCACCACTCATATGCCGAACACAAGGCGGCGGCCATCTTTTGCCATCGAATGCTCAGCGGGACTTGATCGTCAAACCCCTGGAACTATTATCAGACACTAGTTTGCACGGATCCCGCTGAGGTGCCGGTTGTCCCATCTGATTGGACAAAAAGACACGAAAGCCATACAGACACTTTATTCCCGGGCCTTTCAGAGACTATTCGTGAGATCTGAGCGTAATTTGTATGTTTTGTGCGCTCAGATCCAAGCTGTCTGGAGATGGGTCGGATGGGTCATGTTAGTGTTATCATGTGAAAGTTATGTATTTTTATCCTGTTTTCTTTTGTGGAATAAAACGTGGGTATTTCATGTGCCTGGAGATAATTGAGTTACTGTAACCGTTGAGATCAATTATCTCCAGGGTAGGGAGGAGTGTTTCAGAAAATGCACTTTGTTCCTATTGGCTGTGACACTGTATTGTTCTTTGTACCATCAGGTCCAGAGGGGTGTTCCTCTGGCCTGGAAACTTGAATTTAATCCGTGCATGAGTACCCATTAAACCAGTTCATTTTACCCTCAACTCGCAGCCTCGACTAGCTCTACTCGTAGCTAGTGTGGAATATCTACATTTCCAGGATTATTACTGTATGTAGATCGGAGCGGCGCTCTCACTCTCCAATACTGGGAACCAGGACATATAAGCGGTCTAACTTCCAGCTAGCCTGGAGGCAACCGTAACAACCAGCTCTTGCTAACACTTCCTTGGAACTATTTTCGTCTTCTACCTCGTGGCCGACTGGTCAGAACTTCCCTGCGATGGTGATCCAAAACTACCAAATGGATCTGGGTGATCTTTGGATATGTTGCTCACCCAGATCCATGCCATCCATGGATGTGACTCTTGTGGGCTTCCCATGCATTTTGGGGGTACTTTTGGGGTGTTCCAAAATTGTACGCCATCCATGGCAGTCATATTGTGACAGGCCGCCACATTTGGTGGCAAGTGGGATCATCCCTTTTCCTGGACTGCTAATCTGCGGTTGGCACTGGTGTACAGTGAATGGAAGGCTGGTACACACAGCTTAAGCTCAGCACATTGAAAGAATTATTAGGAGTTTGTGGAGGTACTCCCAGCAACAAAGCCAAGCAGGTCATAATCAGCGAATTAATGGAGCTAGACCGGGAGAACTTGGCTGCGGCAACACCAACCATTCATGAGAATGAGACGGAAACCAACAGGGAGATTCGGGAATGACTGGCACTGTTCAGGCCAAACCCATCTCCCAAAATATTAATGCAAGTAATAAACAATGTTACCACGAATGCAAACCAGGGAACAGCGGGAACTACAAATACACTTAGCCAAAGTGCAACAAAGAGCTGCACCGCTCCCAAACCGCAAAAGGTTCCCTTCAGTATGTTCAAAGCCTTCACCAAATTGGAAGGGGAAATTGACGGCTACCTGGTAGATTTCTAACACCAGTGCACGCTACACAGAGTAGCTGAAGAAGAGTGGGTCCCTATACTAGCGTGGAAATTATCCGGCAAAGCAGCAGACCCTATTCAGGCCAAGATTTTCACTAATATGAGAGGGTAAAAGAGGCGCTCTTAGCCTGGTATGCAGTGACACCCGAAGCGTACCGCAGAAAATACCTGGACTTTCGCAAAATGAATAAAGACTTCTACACAGAGTGGGCCAGCCGGCTGCAACGATCAGCCTCCCAATGGATTACAAGCTGTCAAGCGACCACCGTAGACAAAACTTTTACAGCTCATCCTATTTTAACAATTTTCAATTTTATAGAAGCAGACGTCAAGGAGTGGGTAAGGGACTGCAGACCTCTTAGACTCCCAGAGGCAGCCCAGCTTGCGGATGAATACCATGAAGCTCGCAAGTTGGACCATCCTCCACCCTGGGTTCAAACCCTGTGGACCCAGACAGCAAGGGGGAGCTATCACTCCCCCATCCGACCTACCCCTACCAACACCAAACCCCCTCTAGCACAGGGTCTCATTGCTATTGCTGCTGTGACGGACCGCCTGACACCCCGACTGGGCTTCCTAGTAGCCTATAAGCACCATACCGGACACCACACCTGACTCCCTACCTGTATGGACAAGAGTTCACTCTGGTTACAGACCATAACCCGTTGATGGGTTATCAAGGCAGCTGCCACAGCTTGGCTGGGGTCTCATCGTCCCTTCTCACCCTGGATTAAACTCCTGGATCTAGCTCCCAGTGTACTTTTGTACTCCAGACAGAGAGACCAAATGATTCCCTGGAACTGTTTTGGGCATAGGACATTGTGCACGGTCGGTAAAAATAAGACTTCCAGTTAATTCATGAACTGATCTGGGTGATTTTTGAATATGTTTGTCATCCAGATCTGGGCTATCAGGGGATGTAACATTTGTGGGGTTTTATGCATTTTTAGGGTACTTTTGGGGTGTTTTTACAAAGTTTGTTTTTTCTGTGCTTAGAGATAATTTGAATAGAATTAGTACAGTTACTGATCCAATTATCTCCCAAGCAGAGGAGAGGGATTGTGTGCTATGTGTGGGAGTGTCGTGCCTTGTGACCTTATTGTTATTGATCTGTGAAGTCGAAAATCAGTCCCCCTGTGGGCGTATCCCCTTGCATGGGGATTGTCATATAAGGCCAAGTGTGGCTCCCATTAAAGAGATTCGTTTACCCCTTCATGAAGTCTTGGCTCATGTTTGGGGGATTGGAGAACTGCATACACTCTGGGGATTGCTATATCACAATGCAGTATAATCACTAGTATAATCACTAGCTCTTCTAAGAGCTGTTCCTTCTACGCTAGCTGGACTAGGAGAGGTCTACCCACTGGAAGCTGGATCCTGGTTTTGGATCCAGGGTGGGTGGAGGACAGCGAGACCCCAACCAAGCTGTGGCGCTTTGTGGGTTTTATGGTGGTTATGGTGTTCCAGTACAGTGCTTATGGTGCTCGCAAGTACTAGGAAGCAGCGATTGACGGAGGTACCCAGTCCGGTCCTTCACAGCCATCATGCTATTTCTTCTAAATAGACAAGCATAATATGGACTTAAAATTATCTTCAAAATCCTCCAGTACTGGATAAACTATGTTCAAATGGTTTTCCTACTGCTCACCTCTGCCTTTGCATAGTAACTCTGGGATGTTTACTAACACTCATTGCAGGGAACAGTTTGACTTTTTCTTCAGTTATCTTCTTGTAATCTTCTTGAAGCAGAATCTTTTTATTCAGTCAGTAATAATTCAGACTTAAATCTTGCCCATGCTTACTCCACCAGTAAATGTAGGAAATTAGCTGATCCTGAGATGTTTGTTTCTCACATCAGAGTTCCAATAATCAAATCAGATTTTCTTGCAGCCTTAAAATGTATATTTATTCAAACAATACACAGCATCTCAAAATAACATAAACTCTTTGCACACATCTGTACCAATACAGCAATATGTATGCACTTAAGTTTATATCCATTTTTTATGTTAAGTATTGGTGACGAACAGGGCCGGACTGGGAAAAAAATTAGGCCCGGGTGTGACGAGACCAATCTCGCCACTGTGCATTGGAGGAGCCTGGTTGCCCGTCTGCTGCCTTTAGACTATGGCCCCATGTTGAAACGCTTGATTTTCCCCTGCAAAGACACGAAAGCCGGGTCATTCGGTGCTTGCCCTGTTTGAGCGGTGATACCCCAGATAGCTATGCCATGGAGCCCATTCGTATAATGAAAAACTATGGGAAAGACTTTGGCTCCATGGCAATTGAACTGTATGTGTGTCCTCTGAGCGCCATTCAGAAATAATGTCCGCTCAGATCTGAGCAATCTGGGGATATGTTGAATGTAGCCAACAAATATATCACCAAAGGGTGAAAAACACAAATAGTAAACATTTTTAACAGTGAGTAGTACTTAGCTTTAGATCACGAATGACAGCCTCCCTAGGTCGTTACCCAGAAATGACCTATATCATATATAGAGAATCACAACAAACAATTCGGGATATGGCTGTATAAATCTACAGGAAAGACATAAAATAAAACATAGTGTGATATTGTTACAACACAGTTTCGTAATGCGCAGCAATATTTGCACTCACTAGATGTAGATAAGTGTAAGTATTCTTAAGGTGCCTCCCCCGATGTAATGGGGGGCCAACAGATCTCTTTGATCACCTCCAGAGAATTATTCCACCACAGGACTTCCACAGGTTAAGGTAAAAAAATTAGAAATTTATTCAATAAAAAAATAAGCAGTCACCAATCAGCATAGGATATGAAGAGCAGAAAAAAAAGGTCCTATGCGTTTCGTTCTAAATGAACTTCCTCAGGGACCGCAGTAAAAACAATTGAAAATGTATCAATACATATTCCAAAACAAACATATCCTTAAAAAAACCCTTCCCTGTGTCCTTAAATAGGGCTAGTCCCTAAGTCCATTGGTGGATTCAGTGGGCGTGCAGATCTTCTTCCATTCGGATTGGAGAAGGAATCTTCTTTCATCAGCTGTTTCAAACTTCTCCATAAAATTGGCGCCCTTTTTCGGCAGAAAACCGGAAGTGACCGTGATCGCCGAAACCGGAACTGACGTCACGAGTACATCTGTGTTCCAAATGCGTTCCAGCAGCCATTAATCTCTATGGCAACCGGACACACAGATTCAGCTACAATTCATGTGGATCAAAGGAGTAATTGAAGTTCAAAGTTCTTCTAGAGAAACATGTGTTAGCTATATTTAACTCAAAACACCCTCATGCCTTATTCATATATCACTATACAATAGATGTTAGTAACTTTTATAGCTAATCAACATAGATTATATTCATCAGATTAAAGGACCACTCTAGGCACCCAGACCACTTCAGCTTAATGAAGTGGTCTGGGTGCCAGGTCCTTCTAGGGTTAACCCATTTCATAAACATAGCAGAGAAACTGCTATGTTTATGAATGGGTTAAGCCTTCCCCCTAATCCTCTAGTGGCTGTCTCATTGACAGCCACTAGAGGCGCTTGCGTGCTTCTCACTGTGATTTTCACAGTGAGAGCACACAAGCGTCCATTGGAAAGCATTGTAAATGCTTTCCTATGCGACGGGCTGAATGCGCGCGCGCATTCAGCCCAGGAGGAGGAGAGAAGAAGGAGAGCTATCCGCCCAGCGCTGGAAAAAGGTAAGTATTTAACCCTTTCCCCCTTCCAGAGCCGGGCGGGAGGGGGTCCCTGAGGATGGGGGCACCCTCAGGGCACTATAGTGCCAGGAAAACGAGTATGTTTTCCTGGCACTATAGTGGTCCTTTAAACAATATAAAAAGATATTTTATATAAAATAATAAAGTGCAATAAAAAAAAAAAAAGGATGTTTCTCTGGACATGAGGAATAACTTCAGTCCTATAAATGAACACCCATGTCTATTTATTTTTAAAGGGATATGACAACCTAAATCCCAAGTGTAGAGTGTTTGATCAAACAATTCATTGTATATCCCCATTTAGTGGATACACAATAATTGTTCTGTATCATATTTATAAACCCTTAAAATAACTTGTAATAATAATAAAAAGACAAAAAATAGGTATTATAATAATATATGTATATTTACATATATATATATACATATACGATTATAATACTTTTTTTGTCTTTTTATGTCCTGTTTACGGCATTCATATGTGTAGCGGAGAGCTGATTTCTCACAGCTTAACTCCACCAGTATGTCCAGAGAAGGCAGGAACAATTAATAAATCCCAGAGAATATCCAACACAGTCAGTAATAAAACCCAATAATATCCCATCACCTTTCGCAATCACAGGAGTAAAGAACTAACTTTTAATCACACAACCCTTTTAGTTCCACTGAAGCATGGCTCTCCAGCCCAAACTTTCCAGCCCAAACCAGTTCCAACTAGTCTGGCAGTGTGCCTGGGACTACGCCCTGCTGGAGAACAATGGGACAGGAAACGGGGGAGGGGTGCACCTTCCTATACACAATCTATACACAGTCTAATAGAAGTCCATACACTGTGCTTAAAGGGCCAGTAGCCACATAATAAAAATCCATCATGCCCAAATACTGTCTTTAAAGGGCTATACCCCCAGGGCCATAATCACTGGGCAGGAGGTGAGCCATCAGCCCCCTCCAGGAAACTGGGGCGTACTCTGGTATAGGACCCAGTCCGCTACATTTCTCCCCTTTACCAAAACGACTATCCAGACTCCAGACCTCCAATCGGTCTGGGGTGCTGAGAGTCGGCCGGCCTTTCTTACCCGGTGTAGCTGTCCCGGTAATCCCTGTTCTAATTGCCACATGTGCCCCGTTGTAAATTCATAGTCTGGTAGCAAAGTAACCAGGGCGCCCTCTCCCCTGGTTGGACAAAACTGTTGCTGGGGACGGCGGATGCAGTTCCCCTCCTCTAGACCTGGTGGGTCGAGGCCAGCAAAACTTAGCTCTGTGGTCCTCGGTGCCCTTGATGTAGATGGTGCGCCATCAGGTTCTAAGGCAGAAGGGAAGAGAGGGCAGAAGCTCTTCTTCCTACAACGCTCTCCTTTGTTGTAGGGGGGGACCAACTGTCTCCCCTTCCAATACATTGTTCTGCTGTTGGGATGGGGAACCAGCCATCTCCCCTTCCAATGACATGCTCAGCCGCTGGAGAGGGAAACCAGTTGTCTCCCCTCCCTGCAAGGCACTCTGCCACTGGGGAGAGAGACCACCTGTCACTTCTCCCAACATCACACTTGGCTGCTGGAGGGGGGAACAGACTGTCTCCCCTTTGGCTAAACGGTCTTGCTGTTGGGAAACAGGACAGACTGTCCTTATCCTTGGTGGTGTAGGTTCAGAGACTACGGTCCCATCTGCACTGTTGTGGGGCTTACTGTCTCACCTTGGTGGGCTATGCTGCCGCTGGGGAGGGAGGACGCTGCTCTCTACCCCCAATGAAACACACTGCCGCTGGGAATCTGGGCCGACTCCCCCTGCCACTGGGGAGGGAGGATGCTACTCTCCTCTCCCTGCAAGGTACACTGCCGCTGGGGAAGGGAGACGATGCTCTCCACTCCCTGCTCTTCACCCTGCCGCTGGGGATCTGGGCCGACTGCCCAGCACCCCTGTAGGGCCAGTAGAGAGACCGCCGTCCCATCTCTAACTGCCATCTGTGGGTCTTCCCAGGACCAGTCTATGAAGTCCCTCAGTTCTGGGGCTGGTTGGGGAGTAGATGGTACAGACCCCAGGTCTCCTGATGACGGGCTTGGTTGTTGGGGAGGAAGGACGAAACTCAATGCTCCCAATGGTGTACAGTCCATAAGCCCCCTCAGGTTAGAATCAGGCAGTGTTACTGTATCAAATAAAAGGGCATAATCCTGTTCGAACTCCCCCTGCTCTGGTGGTACCTGCAGGGTATAGGATGACTGGCTGGAACTGATCAGGTGCTGGTAATCCTGCTCAAGCTCCCATTCCTGGACAGCCAATTCAATCAGGTCTGGCTCCAGGTCTTCAGCCATAGGGAGATCCAGCATGGCCTCTCTATAGTTAAGTATGCCCCAAAGCTGGGATTCTGCCGCACTCCCAAAGTCCGGTTCTGCAAAGGCCCCCCATAATAAACCAGGGCCATTGTACTCCTTGCCCTCCGGTTTGTCGAACTTGGCCATTCCGTGAACACGCTGGACCGCGTACCAACGTAGCGCTTGGTACGCATCATCGAGACCCAGTTCCCTCCATGCCAGTGTATGAAGCTGTATCACCAACTCTCCCCCAGGCTGATCTCCCAGTATAGGCATCCGTAGGGCCACTCGAGCTTGTAGTCGCTGCTCCTTGCTGGGGAGGCGCTCACCTTGCCAACGCTGTACACCCTCCAGAGTTTCTTCCCACATCTCTTGTCAGGCGTCCTCTCTGCATGCCAACCTGGTTGCCGCTGCTATCTGCTTATCCACTGTGGCCAAGATGCTCTGTAACCTCCGGTTAAACTCAACTTTCACCTCGAGTGTTGTCCAGGGACTCGCTGGCTCTATGTCGCTCCATATTGATTCCTGTGTCTCTAAGGTGCTGTTCCTCTCTGGAGTTTGTTGAACCCTTTGTCTTCGTACAAACTCCTGTACTTCTGTCATGGTTCTGGAGATAATCTCTGTTGGTGGAGTTTCCCCATAGAATGACAGCCGGAATTGCAGTTCTCTCTGAAATTCCAATCGCCCCTGTTCCTCTGCTGGGTTGTTCTGTACCCAAACTGTACCCTTTTCTGCTCTGTATTCCGCCATTAGTGCTGTTGCCTTTCCTGGTGCTTGCTCCTCTGTGGATCTGGATCCCGACGCTGCCAACCAATGTAGCGGAGAGCTGATTTCTCACAGCTTAACTCCACCAGTATATCTAGAGAAGGCAGGAACAAGTAATAAATCCCTGAGAATATCCAGCACAGTCAGTAATAAAATCCAATAATTTCCCATCACCTTTCCCAATCACTGGATGACACATAGTATCAGGAGTAGAAATTGACTAACTTTTAATCACACAACCCCTGCTTTTATGCAATGCTCCCGTGCAAGGGAGCCACCCACAATAATTAGTACATTAACCAATAAAGTACAAGGTACAACCCACACATCTCCTCCCATCAGCTTATTTGTTAACATAATAAAAATGTACATATTTTTCTGCAACTTCTAGATGTACCCCAAATACATAGGGTACACCCCTAAATGTGGTATCCCATGATAGTCCTGATCTGGGTGAATAACATATTCAAAAATCACCCAGATCGGACCAGGGGTTCGGGAGTTATGGGGGTTAAAAAGTTAGGTGGATTTCCCTTTAGTTCCACTGAAGCATGGCTCTCCAGCCCAAACCAGTTCCAACTAGTCTGGCAGTGTGCCTGGGACTACGCCCTGCTGGAGAACAATGGAACAGGAAACGGGGAGGGGTTCACCTTCCTATACACAATCTATACACAGTCTAATAGAAGTCCATACACTGTGCTTAAAGGGCCAGTAGCCACATAATAAAAATCCATCATGCCCAAATACTGTCTTTAAAGGGCAATACCCCCAGGGCCATAATCACTGGGCAGGAGGTGAGCCATCAGCCCCCTCCAGGAAACTGGGGCGTACTCTGGTATAGGACCCAGTCCGCTACATTATATGTTTCTCCGGTTCGGTGGATTGGTGTCTACATTAGCTGTGCCTGTGTCTCTGGAAAGGAAGATCTATTAAACGGCTTTTAACCCCTCTTTTATGCCTGGTGGTGCCGTTACAATTGGTGGCAAGCGGCGGGATCGTTCCTACAGCCATAAGGACAGCTACAAGGAGACACCATTCCGTGGATTTACAAGTTGGGGGCAACGCATGTCCCAGTACAGTGACCCTAAAAGCAACAGAATGGAACCAGCAGTGTTATACGAGGAGGAGGACCTGGATGGCCGGGATGCATTAAGGAAAGGCATCTGGTACCAGGCCTTGGATAATGTACAATACCAGCTGGGTGAGAGTCTCCCCAGTGAAGAGCAGCAATTGCAGAAGCAAGTGGCCCTGCGGATGCCCTTCCTGGGAGAGCAGCCCCTGGAGGAATGGGTGAAGGAACTAGAGCACTGTATGGTATGGCAAGAGCTATGGCTAGAGGATGCCTACCAGGCGCTCTGGTGGTATATGGCACAGTATATACCCTGGACAGCTGAGGGAGAGGAGTTTGATGGTCCTGGCTTGTTATGGGAGTCCTTTGCAGAGCCTGACTTCGGGAGCCCTGCGCAGACCAGACTTCAGGACATCATCTACGAGAGGGGGGCTATGCATGACTGGGATGACCCCCATGAGGTAGAGCAAGACCTGGCTCACCTAGCAACCCAGGAGTGGGAACTGGAGCAGGACTACCGAGATCTCTTCCACTCCATTGGGAAGGCTCAGCAGGACAGCAAGGTGACAGACCCAGATCCAGACCCATTCAGCTGGGACGATATTGTGGAGATTTACTGGGAAGGACCCCAGGTGGCCGGTGGAGATGGGACCAAGGTCTCTCCACCGGTCCTGCAGGGAATTGGGAGCCCAGTCTCCATTCCCCAGCGGCAGTCTGAGTTACAGGGGGCAGAGACAGCTGGTCCTGTCCCCCCGCGGCACCACTAGTCTCCATTCCCCAGCGGCAGAGCAATGTACAGGGAATTGGGAGCCCAGTCTCCATTCCCCAGCGGCAGAGCAATGTACAGGGAATTGGGAGCCCAGTCTCCATTCCCCAGCAGCAGGCTGAGCTACCAGGGGCAAAGACGGTCGGTCCTGTCCCCCAGCAACAGGGCTGTTTAGCCAAAGAGGAGACAGTTGGTCTCCCCCTGCAGCAGCAGAGCTGTGTATCTAAAGGGGAGACAGTCGGTCTCCCCCTCCAGCAGCAGAGCTGTGTATCCAAAGGAGAGACAGTTGGTCTCCCCCTCCAACAACCAGGCTCCAACCAGGCTACTTCCGTGGTAGTGCTGGCACCAGGGCAGAGTACCGCTGGTCTCTGCCCACTCAGCAACCCACCAAGGCAGCCTACCAGTACCCCGCACAGCCGTGGTGAGGCACCTGGACATGGACAAGTTTCTCCTCTACCCAGGTGTAGTAACCAGTTATTGTGGGTGGGCTGTACTGCTAATTGTGTTTTGTGGGTGGGCTGTTGGACTAACCAGGGCACTGACCGGCAGGAAAAGGGGAGACATGTGACGAGACCAATCTCACCACTTTGCATTGGAGGAGCCTGGTTGCCTGTCTGCTGCCTTTAGACTATGGCCCCATGTTGAAACGTTTCATTTTCCCCTGCAAAGACACAAAAGCCGGGTCATTGGGTGCTTGCCCTGTTTGAGCGGTGATACCCCAGATAGCTATGCCATGGAGCCCATGCGTATAATGAAAAACTATGGGAAAGACTTTGGCTCCATGGCAATTGAACTGTATGTGTGTGCTCTGAGCGCCATTCAGTAATAATGTGCGCTCAGATCTAAGCTATCTGGGGATATGTTGAATGTACCTATTTTATGCAATGGCTGCACAGTTATATATTTTTATGAATTTTATTGTCTTATTTATTATTTATTATTGCCATTTATATAGCGCCAACAGATTCCGTAGCACTTGCTGCCATGTGTTCAATGGAGTTTTGCCTCTGACCTTGGAGATCATTGGATTACTTCCCAATTATCTCCAGGATAGAAGACTCTGTGGAACTGGTTTTGGGCAGAAAAGTCATGCTTCCTGTGGTCACAAAGGACTACCATCTATCTTTTGAACCACTGGACCAATTTGTATGATTTTGACGTATGTTTGTATTTGGAGTATGCTGAAAATGTAAGTTGTATGTGAATGTGATGCATACTTTTAAAGTTATGAATGTGGAAAAATTGTATTTCTCTGCCTGTAATAATTACATTACCCATTGTGTAATGTAATTGTATCACAGGCAGAGGGGAGGATTTTGTGTGGGAGTGTCTGAGTGTATTGTACGTGTTTATTGGTTGTTTTCCAAAACCCTGTGGGTGGTACTAATGTGTATACAAGAACAATAAACCCACAGCTCTGTCTGGTCCTGCTTGACCCTCAAAACAGAGCCTTGTCTCGTTCTTGGGGGGATTTATTGTATGTTGTTCCAGTTCGACTGCTAGGAGTGTAAACCTATTCGTATGGTTTTTCCTATTCGGCTGTTACAGCATTCGTATGGTTCTGGTTTGCCTGTTTACGGCATTCGATGCTTCTCCGGTTCGGCGGATTGGTGTTCTGCAGTAGCTGTGCCTGTGTCTCTGGAAGGGAAGATCTACTAAACGACTTTTAACCCCCTTTTATGCCTGGGGGTGCCGTTACACCGGGCATTTTTCAATCAGAGCGGCCCCCTAAGAAGGGGGCGGGGACAGAGAGGGTGTGTTTTGACATCACTAATGACAAGCACGCCCCCTCTCAAAGTGAGCATGTTGGTTCAATGCACAGAGCCCCGCTGAAAAGCTCTGGCATTAGAAGACGGCCCTGTATTTGTTCTGCGCAGCGCAAGCAAATTTAATAACATGCTTGCGCTGTGTTTGCTTTTAAATTGTCTCTGGTGTCTCCACAAGTGGGATACCAGAGGACAAAAGGGCCAGGAAAGTGTATGGTGCATCTGTTTGGAGCCTGCTTGTGGGATTGCGTGTGTGTAGAGTGTGTTGTGGTATTGTGTATAGGTCAATTTCATTTCTATTTGTGGTGTAATATGTGTGGCTAGGGGCTGTAGAGAGTGTATGTATAGGGGCATAGTGTTATAGGGGATGTAGCGAGTGTGTGCAGACGGGCTGTAGTGTGTGTATAGGTGACGTAGTGTGTGTAGAGGTGGTAGAGAAGGTGTGTTTAGGAATGTAGTGTGTGGGTAGGTTGTGCAGTGTGTGTGTAGGAGATCTAGTGTGTAAAGGACCCAGAGTTTGTATAGAAGATTGTGTGTGTGTGTGTGTGTGTGTGTGTAGAGGATTAAGAGTGCATATAGGGTAAGGGATCCAGCATGTATCTGGAGCATAATGTGTGTAGTGGTGCAGTGTGAGGGGTGCTGTAGTGTGTGTATATATTTTGGATGTACAGGGCCGGCCTTAGGCAATTAGGCGCCCTGTGCAAAAAGTCTTCACGGCGCCCCCCCCACCTCCCACCAAGTTGCCTGAATACAGTAACACACACAGGCACCGGGGACGTGTGTATCACGAGGCAAACAAGGCATCTGCCTTGGGCGCCACTTTGCAGGGGGCGGCAAAAAAAAGCATCCCTCCAAACCCCCAGGCAGATCCCTTGCTTGCCTCGCATCCTGGGGGGCTCAAGAGCTGACCGGCTGGCCACTTTTGAGCCCCCCCAAGGCTGGCAGCGGGCAGCGAAGGAGCATACTCACCTGAGCTCTTCCTGCTCAGCTTCCTCTGCGCCGCTTAATGAAGCCGGGAGCCAGAATATGACGTCAGTCCGGCTCCCGGCATCACTAAGCGCTGCTTACTCAGCCTGTGCGCCCCCTGCCTGCCTGCCCAGCAGCCACACTGGACTGCTGGTAAGAAATCCACTCCAGCTTTCCCAGGGAGGCTGGGTGGATTTAAAATAAATGTAAAAAATATTAGTTTGTGAGTGTTAGTGGAAATGTCTGTGTGTGTGTCTGTGAGTGTTTATTTTGAAGTGAATGTGTGTGTGTGTGTGTGTGTGTGTCTGTAAGTGTGTAATTGTGTGTGTCTGTAAGTGAATGTGTGTGTGTCTGTGAGTGAATGTGTGTGTTGGTCAGTGAGTGTATATGTGTCAGTCAGTGAGTGTGTATGTGTCAGTCAGTGAGTGTGTATGTGTCGTCAGTGAGTGTGTATGTGTCGTCAGTGAGTGTGCGTCTGTCAGTGAGTGTGCGTCTGTCAGTGAGTGAGCGTCTGTCAGTCAAAGTGCGGCCTTGACAGGAAGGGGTGGGGGAAATTTAAACTCGGTTACAGGCATGTACACACACACTCAGTTAAAGGCAGTCACACATACAGGCACAGGCACAAACAATGGCACAGCTACAGCGACACACACAGACAGACAGTCACATAGGCAGTCACACACACAGACAGACACACAGTAACACACACATAGACAGTTATACACACACAGGCAGGCAGTCACACAGATAGAAAGTCACACACACAGGCAGGCAGTCACACACAGACAGATAGTTACAGACAGACACACACAGGCAGGCAGGCAGTCACATACAGGCAGTCACACACACAGGCAGTCACACACACAGACAGACAGTCACACACACAGACAGTCACACAGACAGACAGTCTCACACACACAGGCAGTCACACAGACAGACAGTCACACACACAGGCAGTCACATGGGCAGTCACACAGACAGACAGTCACACACACAGACAGTCACACACAGGCAGGCAGTCACACACAGAGACAGTCACACACACACACAGAGACAGACAGTCACACACACACACACACACAAGGACAGGCAGTCACACAGACAGTCACACACACACACACAGACAGTCACAGCACACAGGCAGGCAGTCACACAGACAGACAGTCACACACACACACAGACAGTCACACAAACAGGCAAACAGTCACACACACACACTTACCTCTTTCCAGTGGATGCAGTTGGCTGATGGGGAAGCATCTTTCCCTCTTCCTGTACAGCAGGGGCTTCGGGAGGTATTAGCCCCGTCTCCGCCTCTCGATAAGCCCCGCCTCCGCCGCTCGGTAAACCCCGCCCCCTCTGCCGCGATTTTTTTTTTTTTTAAATAGACCCGGGTGGAGAACAATTAATCCTCCAGCCAGGTACCTCTTTTAGCTCCCCTGCACTCCGGCCATGAGTGAGCTGTGTCGGCCACAGGGCGCCCCCTGTTCCATGGCGCCCTGTGCGGTCGCACAGCTCGCACACCCCTAAGGCCGGCCCTGTGGATGTATTGTATGTGTGATGTGCGCTGTGTGTGTGAGAGAGTGAGGGTGCTGTGTGAGAGTGAGGGTGCTGTGTGTGTCTGGGGGTGCTGTGTGCGTCTGAGGTTGTTGTGTGAGAGTGAGGGTGCTGTGTGTGTCTGGGGGTGCTGTGTGTGTGAGGGGGTGCTTTGTGGGGTGTCTGGGGTGCTTTGTGTTTTGGGGCTGTGTGTGAGTGTGAATTTATTTTAATATATTTTTTATTAATAATTTATGAAAAATGTTGGAATATTCCTCATGTTAAATAATTTCATGGAATTCAGCAGGCCCCACTGCAGTGTCTATGGTGCACTTCTGTCCTTACGCCACATCACTGGAAATCAGTCCCACAGAAGATCTGTGGGAGTACTGAACAGGTTTAATTGGCCCTCCACTTGTTCCTCTTGAATAGCATGCCTCCTGGCCTATCTTTTGATTGATTTCCACCCTACAATTGTGAAAATGATGCTTTATACACTGGATTACAAAGAACACAGGTTGTGGTTCTATAACTGGGGTTCGGTTGACTGAGGTTTAGGCCATGTTACCTCTCCTGGAGGGCGGTGTTCCTGGTGACCCTATTGTGACACCTTCTCTTTATTCCTGTGCTATTGGTAGGGGGCCTCTCTGCCGGATTTCTTTAGTCTACCTCTGGGGTATGTCTAGGGGTCATGGGCCCATGGTCTTATTTGGGATATAGGATGGTCTCGGTGCGATTGTGTGTTACGTTAGCATTCTGTCGCTTGCTAGTGAGTCAATACTAGGTGCCAGGACTTAGTAGTCCTGTGGAAAGTGCGCAAGGCACTCCTTCCACGCGCCCCTGCCTCTGAGACGTATTTTTTGGCATGCATTTGTTTTTGCGACATTGCTTCATAGTCGAAGTTTGTTGTAACCTTTCTTTTCATGTCCCATGTGCTGGGTGCCCTAGTGGATCTCCATTCCCTCGCTATTGTAGTCAGAGCCGAAATCAGTATATGAAAGATCAGGACCCCCTTGATCCGTTTAAATGTGCCTAGGGTTAGGAACAGGAGTCCCAATGCTGGTTGCAGCATAAATTGTGTGCCCAAGTCCACCATATGTGAAGCATAGTTCCCCTTTCTGTGTTACACCTCCAGAATTTTGCAGAGGCAGTGGGGTAGATTTTTGCCAGTCTGTCTGGTACCATATACCATCAGTGTAGTAACTTCCTCATTTGTTCCAGGTGCGCTGTGCAAGCTGTTTTCCCTTTATGTGCTGTGTAGGCTTTGTGCCAGTGTTCCATGGTGTATGTGGTGTGCAAGTCCGCGTACCACACTAGGACATGTTTGTCCGGTACTTCCTCTGCCACTGCCAAGTGGTATGTTAAAGAGATGGTTTTGCAGGGAATTTTGGTGGACATACATATCTCCTCTATCCGAGTGAATGTGTGTGTGAAACTCTTGCGGAGGGGGGGGGGGTCAAATATCGCATTATTGGGTAAGTCGTATCAGGTTTGTAGGTCCGGGAACGCAACCATGGTCCCGTTAGAGAAAAGGTGATGTAACCTTGTGCACCCGTGGAGCTGCCATGGTCTATATTAACATTGGGGTTTGGGGAAGTAGCCTTTCACTTTGTAACAAACAGAACATACAACCACAATGTATCCTGAGTTGCAGGAAAGTCATCATATGTACGTTGACTGCTACTAACACAGTTACTATTTACTGTGTCAGCATGATCAAAATTCACAAAACAAGATATTTCATTTCTATTTTAATGTATAATACAATTTTAGAGACTCATCACCTGTGTGAGATCTCTGATGTCTATCAAGATTAGGTTTAACAAAAAAAAAATTTCCCCATTCAAAACGTGAGAATGGTTTCTCTCCTGTGTGAGTTCTCTGATGACTGACAAGATTTGAATGGTGCCTAAAACTATTTCCACATTCAGAACGGTTTTTCTCCTGTGTGAGTTCTCTGATGACTGATAAGCCATGATTTATGAACAAAACATTTTCCACATTCAGAACATGAGAATGGTTTATCTCCTGTGTGAGTTTTCTGATGACTGACAAGATTTGAATGGTGCCCAAAACTATTTCCACATTCAGAACATGAGAACGGTTTCTCTCCTGTATGAATTCTCTGATGACTGACAAGCTGTGATTTACGAACAAAACATTTTTCACATTCAGAACATGAAAACGGTTTCTCTCCTGTGTGAGTTCTCTGATGACTGACAAGTTCTGGTTTACGAACAAAACATTTTCCACATTCAGAACATGAGAACGGTTTCTCTCCTGTGTGAGTTTTCTGATGATTGACAAGCTGTGATTTATGAACAAAACATTTTTCACATTCAGAACATGAAAACGGTTTCTCTCCTGTGTGAGTTTTCTGATGACTGACAAGCTCTGGTTTACGAACAAAACATTTTCCACATTCAGAACATGAGAACGGTTTCTCTCCTGTGTGAGTTCTCTGATGACTGACAAGCTCTGCTTTAGTGACAAAACATTTTCCACATTCAGAACATGAGAATGGTTTATCTCCTGTGTGAGTCCTCTGATGACTGACAAGATTTGAATGGTGCCTAAAACTTTTTCCACATTCAGAACATGAGAACGGTTTCTCTCCTGTGTGAGTTCTCTGATGACTGACAAGCCGTGATTTATGAACAAAATATTTTCCACATTCAGAACATGAAAACGGTTTCTCTCCTGTGTGAGTTCTCTGATGACTGACAAGCTCTGCTTTAGTGATAAAACATTTTCCACATTCAGAACATGAGAACGGTATCTCTCCTGTGTGAGTTCTCTGATGACTGACAAGCTGTGATTTACGAACAAAACATTTTTCACATTCAGAACATGAAAATGGTTTCTCTCCTGTGTGAGTTTTCTGATGATTGACAAGCTGTGATTTACGAGCAAAACATTTTCCACATTCAGAACATGAAAACGGTTTCTCTCCTGTGTGAGTTCTCTGATGACTGACAAGAACTGCTTTAGTTACAAAACATTTTCCACATTCAGAACATGAGAACGGTTTCTCTCCTGTGTGAGTCCTCTGATGTCTAACAAGTGTTAAATGTTGCCCAAAACATTTTCCACATTCAGAACATGAGAACGGTTTCTCTCCTGTGTGAGTTCTCTGATGACTGACAAGATTTGAATGTTGCCCAAAACATTTTCCACATTCAGAACATGAG